CCCCCCCTTTTTTAACTCAAAAAATTACTATTATTTTTTGTTTGTTTGTTTCTTGGCAGCGCTCGAAAGGATTGAATGAGATGAACCATCTGGGTTATAGTATCTAAAGGGCTAAGTTATTCTTTTGGAGAGACATTCTAAATGAGCCTGACCGAGATACTGGATCTGTGTGAAGAGGACTAAGGATATAGGATGTCAACTGAGACAGAACTTCAAGTGGCTGTTAAAACCAGCACAAAGAAAGACTCAAAAAAGAAAGGTAACTTGCTTTGCTTTAATCTTTGCATACTTTATTCTTTGATTTATCATAAGATAAACTATTAGCTACCTCTGATGCTTGACCTCTAATGCTCACTTCGAAACTCAGCTGGAGTTCTGTCTGCTTGGAGAACATGGGGTCTGGTTCTTTGAACATTTAAATGTATGAGACCCACCAAACCATTAGAGTGTGGTATCACTCTGTTTCAACTGTATATGCAAGCCATATTGGTTTGGCTATGCAAAATAGATCATATGCATATTTTCCTTTGAAAATTTGGCCTAAGTGCTTTTAGCCACATTTTTCTTCATTCTTCTGGATATTTTCTGTTGCCAAAACATACGCTTCATTTAAATTTCATCATGAGATGAACAAGAAGCTAAGTGCACTTATTAATGTCTTGGAGACCTAAACAGCGTAGCTCTTCATAAGATGCAACAGGATTATTTGAAATCCTGTGATTAGAGACAAGTTGTTTGTTTTCTGTATTGCTGAGTAGGTATGGGACATGTTCCTCCCAGCACTGTTCACTGTATAATAAAAGAAATGTAACTGTAGGGAAGGAGAAAACAATGGAGTGAGAGAGATAATATGTATAGGAAGAATTCTAAATTCTATTATATCATTTATTATCTAATTAAATATTATATCATAAGTTGAATATAATTTATTATATAATTAAATTAATTTATAAAGTTTATAATTTATAAATTAATTTATAATTCAAGGCCAGATTGTGGAGCTGGTCCTTACAGTAGTAAATAAATGACGTATGTGAGTAGTAGTGTTGGAAGTGGCACTACTTATGTGAGTGCCTGTCATCAGGTACTCACTCAGAATAAAGAGCTCTTCAATGAAAGATGAACTTGGTCGAGTGATAACTGGTGTGGTACTCTATGCAGCTTGTTCCGTTCTACAGGGAAGAAAATTTAGCATGAGTTTCACTTTCTTCATGCTCAGAGTCTGATTTGAAATTCTCAAAAAGAAAAAAACCAGCAAAATAAAAAATGGTAGTATTCCTCATTTTTATCAGGGCAGCAGAGTTTATACTTTATCCCGTGCTTTTCTTAAATGCATGTTTTAGTTTCTATAAGCTTCCCTGTTGCAGGGCATTGGAAATATATATTTCATATCGTTATGTATTCCCCAGACACAGAGATTCACCTTTTTGATGATACGTCTATACTTTTTCCTTATGTTTGGCCCTCTTCTTATGGCTGACTAGCTCCATTAAGTGGTTTTTATAGGTAGAGTTCATAAAATGGACCTGCTGTCAAAAACTGAGCCAGTGATTCAAGGTTTTTATACTAATTGCAATTCATTTTCTGCCAAGTCTCAGTTTAGGCTTCTGAAAAGTCTTTGTAAGCATTACGCACCATTAGTTATGTTTATAAAGCCAAAAGAAAGGTTAGAAACTTTTATGACAATTTTTGGGAGGTTTCTTCTAAACTCATGAACAAAAACAATTAAATTAACACAAACAACCTGTTATTTGAAATATATATATAAATATATATTCAGACTGTGAAGTAACAGAGAAGGCATCAGACTAAAGAGGTCAGTCTCTTACCAAGGCAAATTGGCAGAGCTGATCAAATTATTCATTACAAATAATATTCCTCCAAATCTTCCAAATAAAACAGATTTTCTGTTTGCATTTAATTCATAACTACTAATCCCTGTGTTGTTTGTTAAAATTCACCAAATAGAGTGGACAAGCAAATTAAACATATCTGTTGTTTCTAAACTGTGACTTCTTTTTTGTGTGATTAGTAATGTAAATCACTTGGAATTGAATTTTAGATGAGAAGCAATACGTTTTACAATTCATTTAACTTTCAAGATTTACAAACATTTTCACAAAGTCATGATGACTGAATACTCCTGGACCCTGAATAACCCAATCCCTACAAATGAATATGAACAGATTTTACCCCTCTTACTGTTCTGTGCTCTAGCAGGAGTCAAAAGTTTTTCACTGTCACAGAGAAGGGCCTGAATAAATGGAGTGAAAAGTGTACAACAGCAGAACACCCCAGAACTAATTATTTTCTAAATTGGATGTGTAAGTCTGACTGCTTCAGATAATATCCAACCAGCTGCAAGGACTACAGTAAAATGAATTTTTTGGACAGCCCGTGTATAAAATTCAGGCAGTATATTGGCTATTGAAAATGATGGTGGTGAAAGTAAGAAGAAACTTGATTTGTTCATTTGTTGTCCATTGGCTTGTGTCACACTGTGTATAACTCAACAAATAAGTCCTAAGTCAGCACAATGTGACATGATGGACATTTGGAAAAATGTGTATTTTTCCAGGTTCATTAACCACTATCAATGTGTGTGTGGGGGTGGGGGAGGAGGGCGGGGTGTAGGAAGTGCACAACCTGAAGTTACATTTGTAATCATTGAAACTACGTACAGA